AAAAAAAAAAAAAGAAAAAAATCAAAGAAAAAAAAAAAACAGATTTGTGTTTTTTCAACAGCTGATCTGATCAGCTTTGAACAGTACCCAAACCCACAGCAGTCCTATAATGGACTGTCATACGCACGTTTGAATATATGATGTACACACTTTTCAGATTTTTATTTGTAAAAAATCTTGAACACCACATATCATTTTTGTTCCACTTCACAACTATGCGTTACCATGTGTTGGTCCATCACATAAAATCCCAAAAAATACATTTTAGTTTGTGCTTGTGAAGTCACAAACAGTGGGAAAGTTCAAGGGGTATGAATACTTTTGCAAGGCACTCTATGTATCATAATCCAGTCTCTGCTGGCCTTTCAGTTCCCTCATTTGTTTTTATCCAGTTCTCCATTCTGTAGTTCCAGTACTTTTTTTTATGCTCAATCACCATTTTCTTTTTTTCCCCCAGGTTTGTTTGTTAGTATATTTCACTACAAATTAGTTGGAATGACAGCGCAGTGGAATTATCAGATTGTTTTCAATAGCTGTGTGCCGCAGCGGTCACCGCAAGCAGCCATCTGTGTAATGCTGCTACAAAGTGTCTGATAGAAATGACTGAAGAACATGGAGTTTACAGCTGGCTGTGGTCTGTCTCTCCACCAGTGAAGGCTGGGAGCAGAATGGCCTATATGAGTTCTTCAGGGCCAAGATGAGAGCCAGGAGGAAAAAGGGACAGGAGAAACGAAACAGGTGAGCCTTCTCTTCTTTTGCATCATTCCATCTCGCAGGCAGAACTTACATCTTATATATGGACTTTACAGTTACCTGTCGACAAAGGTATACTGGCTACTAGTTCTGCCAGAAGACTTCCTCATCCTTTGTGGGGAGGATATGACTATTTTAAAAACTATATAAAAGGATGTAGTGGCCTGACCCATGTGTATTATGTCTATTTATAACCTGAAAACCTCCTAACTCCCCCTTTGGTCAATTCTTGCAGTGGTCGTGCAGGCAGTCGCTCCAGGAGTCACTCTCGTAGCCGAGGGAGATCTTCGTCTCGCTCCAGCTCTCGCTCTTCAAAGTCCTCCAGGTCACGGTCCCGCTCATCTCGCTCCCACTCCCGCAGCCGCTCCCGCTCCTACTCACGATCCAGGTCTGCAAGCATGTATACCATTCAAACATCTTGATAGAACAATACTTTCATCACTATATATATATGTGCATTTCTGTAGCCATACATTTGATTTGCCAAATCTTGAAGAATTATATTCTGAAGCACATGAAGATGCTGTTGAATAGAAATGAACACTTCCTGTCCACAAGCAGGTAACTGCTCTTTCTGTGTGACAGAAAGTCAAATAGCAGTTGAGAAGAGCGGCGGAAGAAGTAGAGCTTATTTTAAAACTGTGTCCACTGCTTTTGTGGGTTATAATTTTTTCCATTGGGTCAATTGTGGTCTTTATTTTTCCTTGACTGTATTTAATTTTTACATTTTGCAACCACTGTGTAGCTGCATGTTTTTTCTGCGACACTGAAACACTTTCACCATTGAGGTTCTAACTGCAGCTACCTCCTGTGTTTACTGTAGTCAACGTGGTTATGATCCCACATCTGCTTTTACTATTCATGATCAACAGCACATCATGCAGCCCCTTAAACAACCTGGAATTTGGTTTTAATATTATATTCTGAGCATTGAACAAACTCAATACCAGGAACTCTCCAAAGCCAAAGATGATGAGTGAAAAGCTGATGAGTGAAGCTTGTGTGCTGACTCACATGGTGTCAGCAGTTTCTATGCTGTCAGTCATCACCTTTTCTTTTTTCCTGATTTTTCCCGTTTTGGATATCGCAGCTTGTTAGGAAGTTGGGGTTTTCACTATGACCTCCTTGGAGCAGATAGGATAGCTTGAACCCAGAACCTCTGATCTGTAGCCCAAAGCCCTAACTGCTGAACCACCACTCCCCCTCTCCCCACACTTGATCATCTTTCCAGGTTGTTTAAAGCTGATACACCTGGCTTAACATGCTGTAACCTAACTCTCTTAAGGTCCAGGAGTCGATCCAGGTCATCTCGGAGTCGCTCTCGCTCCAGGTCCAGATCCCGCTCACATTCACCCACCAAGCGACGCCGTGGCCCCAAATCCCGAAGCTCCTCTCCTACGTAAGTTCCTTTACTACTCTTTGATAAGACACTTTTCTAAAAGACTCTTCTATGTTTTACTGTAGTATAGGTGTCCACCTCTCCTGCTCTCTATAGCTCCACAGCAGTGTTGGGCACTCCTTCCTCCAAACTGTCTACAGACACCAGGTTAGGAGAGGAAAACAAGGGCCATCAGCTACTAATGAAAATGGGTATGTTCTTTCATTTTTGTGTCATAATTTAAACTGCATAATCAACTTTTCAACAAGAATACTTGAGATATTTTCAACGTGGAGGTTTCTTGTCTTGTATTGGCATGATGTATCCGCAGATTATCGGATTTTCAACTGTTCTTGTTTTGTCCTGTCTACTGTAGGCTGGAGTGGTTCAGGAGGTTTGGGGGCGAAAGAACAGGGTATCCAAGACCCCATCAAAGGAGGAGATGTCAGGGATAAATGGGACCAGTACAAAGGCGTGGGGGTTTCACTGGACGACCCTTATGAGAACTATCGCAGGAACAAGAGCTACAATTTTGTTGCCCGTATGAAGGCAAGAGAGGAAGGTACACAAAGACTTCAAATTAAGAACTACACATTTACAAAAAAAATGTAGAGTTGCACCATTTCATTTTGTCTCTGGGACTTAATTTTATACATTTTAGGTTACCAAAAGATTCTTAAATGTAATCTAGCTTCTCTTCTTTTTCTGATTCAGTAAATCGGGAATCCCAGGAAGCTCCCTCAACTGACTGATGTCATCAAATGGTGTTGAACAACTCCCTCATCTTCCCGATCACCACTTTCACCAAGGATTAGAATTTAAGTATTTTTCATCCAGGATTTTTGTCACTAGTCCCAAATCCTTCCTCTTTTCTCAGAGATCAGAGTGATGATAAGAAAGTACTGCCACACTAGTAAAGCCTGTGAAAGAGTGCAAAGACTTCTTGTTCCTTTTTTGGAAAAGTTTGTCGTTTGGAGTGGTCAGCACTAATACTGGTAACACAGAACTCAAACATTTTGTAGTTTTTGCAGGGACACTGGATCTAGGGTCAAATCAAAAAAGATGGATCAAAGCACTCACATCACATTTCAGTCCCGGTGTCTTTTTTATTTTTGTTTTTTTTAATTTTGTATCAGTCTTCAAACGGACTGTCATGCCTTTGTTGTATAGGCTGATAATAAGGGACTCAGTCAGACTGTACATTAACATTTATGGTAGCTGCAGAAGTGAATGCTGAGTATGACAGGAGTGCTTTTGAAAGTGAGTGGACCCTTTTTAATTAATATATACATGTCAACAGCTAAAGTATGTTCAGTTATTTTAATTTGGGCCTTACAGTTGTTTTCATTCTTCTGCTTCATGACGTCTCCAACAAATGCTGTCAGTTTTATTTGCAGAAGATTTTTAAAATAATTCCTGTGAAAGCCAGGAATTATGCCTTCTTACTCACCCACACATATTGTTAGGAAAGAATTTTGTGTTGGTTGTAAACGTAGCCCCAATCAAAACTGCTCACTGTGGGCACGTCACAAGTCTCATTGGTGGAAAGCTCAAAGGTTCTGCAAGATGTTTATGTGGCTAGATATCACTAGGAGTAAGTAGAAATGTTTTGTTTTGCTGAAGTGAGCCTTTAGGGCAAAAACAAGAATTAAATTGGTGGCTCCTCTTTTGAATCTTTTTGGTTTTTAAATGCACATTGTTGTGACAATTTTTCATGTAATGACTTCTCCTAAGACATGACATTCTATCATTTAGTTGTATTAAAATAAAACCCTCAAAGGTCATGAATAGGAAATCAATTGTATTTTTATCCACACACGCTGTAGAGACATAACCTAAATAAGCGGAACTCTTGACTCACAAATGTCTTTTTTTTCTCAACTTTTTTTTTGTTTTACTGTTTTCAGATGGATTTTGTTATATCAATTAATAAATGGTTAATTTAGGATAGAGCTGCACAGTGGGAAGCCGGAGATCTTTCTGCATTGAGTCTCCATGTTCTCCCCATGCAGTGTGGGCTCTCTCCGGGTTCTCCAGCTTCCTCCCACAGTCCAGAAACATGTTGAGGGTGAACTGGTGATTCTAAATTGTCCGTAGGTGTGAATGTGAGTGTGTTTGTCTCTTTGTGTAGCCCTGTGATAGACTGGCGACCTGTCCAGGTGAATCTGCCTTCACCCTGAGTCAGCTGGGATAGGCTCCAGCCCCCCGCGACCCCAGTGAGGATAAAGCGATGCATAGATAATGGATGGAATGCTGTGGAATTCAGTCTTTTGCAGTGGCTAAAGAATACAAAGTTAGAGATATGAACAAAAAATCTCCAAATTTAAATATGCTAGGCCACCACTTATGACTGGCTGTCTTTACTTAAGTCACAACTAGTTGAATCTTTCTACTGGATGGCTATGGCTGGGGTGTTGAGTGGATTGTAGATAAATTGAAAGGCTGTTGATTGGTCCCCCCTCTGTGTGCTGAAGGGTCCTTGGATAAGACACTGAACCCCAAGTTGCTTCCAATAGTAGGTAAGCACTTTGCATTTCACCACTGGTTTGTGAATGGGTGAATACGAAACAAACACTCTTTAAAATACGCTTTGTAGAACATATCTAAGGTCACAATGTCAAAAGTGAATTATTTGAGCTAAGACATTTTCACTTAAAAGCCACAGTTTTGACTTTTATAATGCTGATGTATCTCATAATTTTGTTTATGTACCTCTGACTTAAAAAGAATAGTTGGGCTCACAATAATAATTTCAACATAAAATATGCAGTGTATGTCAAACTAAAGTCAGATGAATATTCCTCTGCCAAGCTTCTGCAGACTGGGAATCATGTTGTCAGCCTGTGTTTTGGTATATCTACAGACATTGTGCCGTCTATCAATGTCATAGAACCAACTCTTTTTGCATTCATGCAGCTGTAGGTACAACTATGTTATCAGGCTATTCAAATAATTTCCATATATCTCTTATTAAAAATCTTGGCATTGCCTTCAATTGAAGGAAAATAGACTGAATCAAAAGATCAGTCTCATGTATCAGTCTCATAAAATACACTAAAATATCAATTTGATATGTGATTAATAATTAAATTAATAACTATAAGCAAATTATCATATCAGTAGCAAGGTTGAAGGATTTTAGAGTTCTATATAGAAGCAGTTGGCAGCATTCACTCTTGGGTGTGTGTGTCTTTTCCACTTGTGGGTCTTTTTAAAGGCCAAGTCAGATCGTGTGTGATTTTCAGAGGACTTTTGGTGCTATGTTTGAAAAGGAGAATTCTAATTTGTATGGCAGACCCTGTGTCTGTGGAGCAAAATACGCAATAACTTAATCTTCCACAGCATGCAGCTCTGTAACTCTGACAGTACATGTACATGAACATAAGCAGTCCCATACTTGGCTGCGGTTACTGTTATGCTCCACTGTGTATGTGGATGCCCAGTTACTACAGTGAAAAGAGTAGTGTTCTCTGTGTGTGTCCTTATATTATTATTATATTAAGTTTTGAAGAGTTGAAGTTTCTAAGATGAATGACAGTTCTTGTTATTGAACTTAGTTATTCTGAGATCAGCTGCTAATGATGGATCTCCAGGCAGGCTCTAGCGTTGCTGCCAGAGAAAAAGAGTTTGGTGCATCTCTGCCAGCCAGAGCTGGTAAGCAAGACAAGACTGGTGACAGAAGAGAGAACAATAGGTACGCCATGGTTTTGTGTCCATTCTGTGGATTGCTGTTGCAGGTATCAAGTTTCCTAAGGTGACTGGAGGAGCAGTGCGACTATTCACCTCCATTTTATTACTGTTTAAATCACACAAATGAATAAAGTCATCTGTGGAACACCCTGGGGTACCTACATAGCCCCATATCACACTGCCACCTCCGTGCTTCACTGTCAGGACTGTGCATTCATTATGGTAGTCTGGCCAGGTTCACACCAAACATGTTGACCCCATCTGAGTTGACCAAAGAATGTGCTCCCCACATCATTAGGCTTCTTCTTATGCTCTGTAGCAAAGTTTCATCTTTCAGTTTTATGCTGATGCCCAAGCTAGGATTTTTGGGGGATGCTGGCCGTAGAGGCTGATGATGATGTTGTTATGCATTGTCATACACACTGTGTGAGCTGTTGCAGAAACTCATTTGGGTTCTGGAGGCAGACACCCTCTCTACTTCAAGATTAGGATTAAAACTTTCCTCTTTGATAAAGCTTATAGTTAGACCTGCTCAGGATCACCTGAACTGTCCCTTAGTTATGCTGCTATGGCTTTAGACTGCTGGGGGATTCTAATGATGTACTGAGCTCCTCTCTCTCCTCTACTCTCTCTTCCTTGGGTTTCCCCTAGCTGTGTTTGTTCTCTCTGTGGACGTCTCTGGATCTGGAGCTTCACATCTCTGATTTGCACTCTCACCCGGTGGCCCACTTTCCTGAGCCTGGTTCTGTTGGAGGTCCCCCCCCCCCTTGCTTTTTTTTTTTTTGGTTCCTTCCCACTGCTTGCTCAGAGGGAGTCCAAAGACAACTTTGTTGGGTTCTCTGTTTAAATTCTCAAGGTCTATACCTTGCTATATTAAGCGCTGTGAGATGGCATATGTTGTAAACTGCGCTATACAAATAAAATTGAAATGAATTGTTTGCAGGGTGAAGGCTTGGACGAGTCTCCAACCAGCATCTCTTCAGGGCTGCCATAGATGAGGTGTTTACAGGCGCTACGACTCATGAAGCAGCCTCTTCTATTGTTCGCAGTAATTGGATAATAAACGGAGTAACTGTGACTGTTTTAGTTCCATGCTTTTATTGTCAAGGCTGGAGGTTCCAGCAGGAAGTGGTGTCGTCCCGTTTTCCGTGAGCTCGTCGGTGGAGCGGTCCGGTGCGGCGCTAACAGCTGGCGGCTCTCAGCGGCGGACATGTCGGCCAGCGCCGTGTACGTGCTGGACCTGAAGGGAAAGGTAAGACCTGAGCAGCACGGCCTCGTGATGAATCCCAAAGACGAGAGTAGATGAGATAAAGAAGTGAGCTTGATGCTGCCTGCCATCCAGCCAGACACCGCCTGGTGTGGAGCGATGCGGCTCGGTCGGTGTGAACGCAGGTGTCGGCTGTGTCCGTGGAGGAGGACGGCTGGACAGCTGCTGACAGACGTGTCCGTGTTCCAGGCTGTTCTCATGACGCCTCCTGTTTCTGTCCAAAAGATCCGGTACACAGCTGTTTAGCACCTCCCCGTTGGTCTTCGTCGGAATTAAGAGTAGAGCAACTCTTTGTACTGCTGCTTATGCCAGCAGTCAGTGATGGAGCCACACAGGATTTATAAGGGGTTACAGGCTGACACCATCATATATCTAATTTTTGCAGCAAATCTCTAGGCTAAAGAGTCACTTTCTGGTCACTCACACTTATCATTTGCTGTAACCAAGACTGCCATGTAGAAGTATATGAAAACTAGTATACTGTGTATTAAGATTTTATTTTTATTTTTATATATAACCCTGGATTGATTCGAAAATTGGATCTGAAGCTCATAATTACACTTTAAACTGTGCATGATTGGAGCACATGAGACACTTGCAGTATGTCAAAAGTGCTCTTGTTGAGCTCAGGACATCACCTGGTTGAGACAGCACACTGTTTCCATGCAGCGTTTGCATTGTCAGTTTCTTTCTTTTGGCAGCAGAGTTATTCCAAGTAGGTTTCATCCCCACAGTCTTTCAGAGTCTGCCCAGGAGCTTCAACTAATACCACAGCTACACATAAATTACACACACTTTAACTAGCAAATAAAGAATTTGTTTGTTCACATGTTTATGTATAAAAACAGATGCATTTTTTTCTGCCTATACATTTTTGAATGAGTAATCCTGCAACAAAATCGGTGCTTTCCTGGCTAGTCAGGTGGTGTGCTGTTCAATCAAAACAACTTTATTTGGAGAGCATGCTTTAAAACAACCTGAGCTGACCAGAATGCTGAACATGTTATCAGACAAGCAGCATGCAAAAAGCAAGACACACTGTAAAAGTCATTTGAAAAACTAACTAAAATAAAAATAAACACCAAATACTAAAATCCAAATCATAATAACACAACACTGTGTAATGTCAGTTACTAAATTTAAATAATTAAAAAAAACAAAAAAACAACTAAGGTGTTAGGAGGACCATTGAGGGCAACCAGAAGCCACTGACAACATGTTCGCTTTGAGATTTTTCTTAAAAATGTCAGAAGAGGAAGAATATTGGATTCAAATAGGTCAGTTATTCCAGCATGCATGTTGTTAAAATGCATCTGTGTGGCAACAATGGCTGTGGAGAAACGGTTCTGCCACAACAATAGTAGTAAGTGGATGTAACTCCAGTTCTATGTGTATATTTGCAGCCTTCTAACTGGCTTCACTATTAGTTGTGTGAGGTGGCTGGATATTAGTCTGAGGGGCAATAAATGGTCTTATTACAGCATCACAGCACCTGTAACTGCTCTCTGGAAGATCATGTGTTAGCATCGTCACTATCAATCTACTGTTTGTAATGTCAGCTGTTAGTCGATTGTTGGGAGGGCTGTTTGAGTTACAAAAAGGAATTACAAAACAACAGACGTGTCCAGGGGACATTAAAAAGTGATGAGCAATATTCACCATATGAACTGATTCTTGGAAACTTCTGTTGTTTAGGAGCTCATTTCCATCCTTTGTGTAGAGTTTCTGGATTTGGTTGTGTTCTCGGTATTTGCCACATGTTCTCGCTATTGCTTGTGTTTTCTGGATTTAGTCATTGTTTAAATTGTGCTTGTATGTTGTCAAATTTGTGAAGATGTTCTTTGGTTTAGATAAATAGTTAATATTTTAGAAAACTATATACTGAAAATAGTTACTAGTCAATTACAAATAATGAATATAACCAAAGAGCTTAGTAAGTATGGTTTTAAAGCCATATCTGGCTATTTTGAAGTGCCAGTGGTCACAGTGCAAAGCATCATCAAAAAGTACAAGGAGTTCCACACTGTAAAAAATCTTAAAGGGTGTGGTAGGAAGCTAAAGGTGACTTCTGCACTGGCAAGAATGCTAGTGTGTGAGATCAATAAAAATGCAGGGATCCTCCCCAAAGACCATCTAATGAATCAACATGTCAATCAGATACTCAGCAGACACTGAAGCAGGCTGGTCACCATGGACCTCATCCAAGAACTCCACTTCTTGAAAGCTTTTGGTCATCTGTTCTGTGGTTGGATGAGATGAAAATAAATTTGTTCAGATGCAGGGACATAACCTTCATCTGAAGAAAAAAAGGACAAACATTCAGTTCCCAGAACACCGTCCCCACGGTAAAGCATGGTGCTGAGAATGTGATGATTTGGGATTTTGTTTTTTAGTTGATTGGACAGGAAGCCTTGTCAAAATAAACAGCTAAGGAGAAAAGAGATGGCTTCAAGATCTTGGAGAAAATATCAGACAGTCTGAAGAATAACAACATGCCTTTGGGCAGCATTGGACCTTCCAACAATTCAGTGATTTGAAGCATACAAACTAAATGGTGAAGAAGTGGTGAACAGACAACTATATCAGCAGTGAGGAGTCCAAACCTGGAAGCATTCAACCTCAAAGACCCAGAGATAGTCACGAAGAGTGGTGGAACAAAATCCCTGTGGAGACATGCCAAAAGACTGTAAAAAAGAACTGTTTGGAAATTTAAGGCTTTGCCAATGATTACTTAGAAAGAATATGATTCATTTTGGAAATGGATTTTTAGAAAAAATGTAAAAGAAAAAACCCAGAAAATAAACTGTGTCACTTGTTTATGTCTTTTCCAGACAGAAGAAAAAGATTACACTACAAGTATGAACCGATCATGCACATGAATAATCTTGGGCTCTGCTTTGCATACAGTGAATAACTCTAGTAATTAACTAGACCAGTGTACATGAATGTAATATATGTGCAAAATCAATGGTGCAGTTTAGTGTTTCAGCAAAAAAAAGCATTAATTTTGATCAATGAATAATTGTTGAAGTTGTTTCAAAAATGAAGTGTCAACCAACTGCTGGGTACAGCTTTCCAGATATCTTACTTCGCCACTTCTGTCTTTTTTATGCCACTGTGAAGTGAATATATTTTAAGAAGAAATAAGAAAAGCATCCTTGTATGTTTCAGGTACTGATCTGCCGGAACTACCGCGGAGATGTGGACATGTCAGAGATCGAGCACTTCATGCCCATCCTGATGGACAAAGAAGAGGAGGGCAATCTGTCTCCCATTCTGGGCCATGGAGGAGTTCGCTTCATGTGGATCAAACACAACAACCTGTACCGTATCTTTAAAAAAGTCCTCACCTGGAGGACTGAAGTTACTGGATCATTCTGGTTCCCAAGTCAACTCCGCTTTACAGTAGAATCATGTTTTTGTGGTTTACCTGACAGGCTTTCTTCACAGTGGAACAGTTCAATTATAACAAGCATCAACACAGCATGAAAGGTTTCAGGGCCTAAATTTTGTTAATATTGCTTGAATTTATATAATTTGATTTTGGCTTACTCACGTAAATATTTAAATTATATAATTATTATTTATTTGTTTTTTACATTCCATGTAGATCAGGTCACTGTTCACCTTAATCTGTGTCAGTTGTAGCAACATCTAAGAAGAATGCCTGTGTCTCCCTGGTTTTCTCTTTCCTCTATAAAATCATCCAGGTAAGATTTTGTCTTCTCATATTAGGGCATTTAGAATCTTGGATGACTCTGACCAACAGTTGAATGTTGACATTCAAAAGAGAGTGACTTCTCCACCCTCTTCTAAACTTTTTTAATGAATACATTTTCATATGAACACATTTCTGCCAAGTAGTCTGTATCTAAGTCTAAACTGAGATTGCTGGAGTAATTTTCACAGTATTGATTACGATATGCCTGGAACTGTAGTTCTAGAGCTATGTATAAACAAGCTCAAAGGAGCCTCGGCTACACTGTGACTTTAGAAATGTAATGGTCACAGTTTGTTACATGTTGTCTGGTCTGCTGGCTCTTTAGGTCTTCTCAGAGTATTTCAAAGAGCTGGAGGAGGAAAGCATCAGGGACAACTTTGTCATTATCTACGAGCTGCTGGATGAGTTGATGGACTTTGGTTACCCTCAGACCACAGACAGCAAGATTCTGCAGGAGTAAGAATTGTGGGACTGCTCATGAACTGTTCAATCTGCTGTTTGATCAGAAATGCTATACTCTGCAGCTCACTACAGTTCCATGACTCTTGGTTTTATTATTACAGTAAAAGCTGCTTGTAGTTGTCATTTCATCTCTTCACCCTGACAGATACATCACTCAAGAGGGCCACAAGCTGGACACTGGTGCCCCTCGCCCTCCTGCCACGGTCACCAATGCTGTGTCCTGGAGGTCAGAGGGCATCAAGTACAGGAAAAATGAAGTTTTCCTAGATGTCATAGAGTCAGTTAACCTGCTGGTAAGAGTACATGACTACAATCTATTCACTTTGGTTATAGTACCATTGGCTGACCACCTGTATTTTTTGTGTCATGAATATATTTGATTATATCATCGTGGGCCTTACTGTTTTCTGACATTCTTCTATTTTCATGAGTTGACATCTCAACTGTTCCTCCACATTGTCTTGATTATTTCAGTGTCATGGTCACTTTCACACAAACTTTCACAGCACTAGTTCCATCAGTACAGCAACAGAAGCAAGTCATACTCACCACTCCCACTTTCTCTTTTTAACACCAACACTGTTTTCATTCACTTACTAATTGTAGTCAGGTCTACAGTTTTCAAGTGTTTCATGAGCAACAGCTTGCACACGTGGACAAAATTGTTGGTACCCCTCGGTTAATGAAAGAAAAATCCTCAACGGTCACAGAAATAACTTGAATCTGACAAAAGTAATAATAAATAAAAATTCAATGAAAATTAAGCAATGAAAATCAGATCTTGCTTTTGAAACGTGGTTCAACAGAATTATTTTTAAAAATAAACTCATGAAACAAGCCTGGACATAAATGATGGCAACCCTTAAAAAAGACTGAAAATAGTGTCACCATAGGGACAAGTTCAAGTTCAATCAAGGTGTGTCCTCTAATTAGCATCACAGGTGTCTACAAACTTGTAATCAGTCCCTATTTATAGGGTTACAATTAGTCACTGTGCTGTTTGGTGACATGGTGTGTACCACACTAAACATGGACCAGAGGAAGTGAAGGAGAGAGTTGTCTCAGGAGATTAGAAAGAAAATTATAGACAAGCATATTAAAGGTAAAGGCTGTAAGACCATCTCCAAGCAGCTTGATGTTCCTGTGACTACAGTTGCACATATTATTCAGAAATTTAACATCCATGGGACTGTAGCCAACCTCCCTGGACGTGGCCGCAGGAGAAAAATTGATGACAAATCGAAGAGACGGATAGTGCGAATGGTAACAAAAGAGCCCAGAACAACCTCTAAAGACAATAAAGGTGAACTCCAAGGTCAAGGTACATCAGTGTCAGATCGCACCATCCGTCGTTGTTTGAGCCAAATTGGACTTCATGGGAGACGACCAAGGAGGACACCATTGTTGAAAACAAATCATAAAAAAGCCAGACTGGAATTTGCCAAACTGCATGTTGACAAGCCACAAAGCTTCTGGGAGAATGTCCTCTGGACAGACGAGACAAAACTGGAACTTTTTGGCAAGGCACATCAGCTCTATGTTCACAGATGCAAAAATGAAGTATATCAAGAAAAGAACACTGTCCCTACTGTGAAACATGGAGGAGGCTCTGTTATGTTCTGGGGCTGCTTTGCTGCATCTGGGACAAGGTGTCTTGAATCTGTGCAGGGTACAATGAATTCTCAAGACTATCAAGGTATTCTAGAGAGAAATGTGCTGCCCAGTGTCAGAAAGCTTGGTCTCAGTCGCAGGTCATGGGTCTTGCAACAGGATAATGACTCAAAAACACACAGTTAAAAACACCCAAGAATGGCTAATAGGAAAACACTGGACTATTCTGAAGTGGCCTTCTGTGAGCCCTGATCTAAATCCTATGGAGGGAGCTGAAACATGCTGTCTGGAGAAGGCACCCTTAAAAC